AGATTCAGATCATTTCGCTGAGTGGGGGGGACGCAGGAAACTCAACGCTGGACACAAAGTGTGAGGAAGCTCTGTCAAAAGCACAGTTCTATTTGTCTCATGCAGCCCAACCATGCAGCAGGTTGAATGAAGAAACCCCAAACCTGTTTCCAACAGTTTCTTTTTGGGACATCTAAAGACGTCCTCTGGAATGCTCTAGGCCCTAGTCGAGACAGTGTTACAGCTCTTTGTGTTGAAAGAAATCATCAGACACGCTCCCCACCGTGTCGTTCCGCCCTCGTCACTTCCCGCCTGCCGTGATCACCTGGGTCTTCTCAGGTGAGCTCTTCGGCACGGCTGGCATCACGAAAGCGCTTCCACACAGAAGGGCCACCATGGTGAGCCTGGTGCCGAGCACGGCGCCGATTCCGCCCTATGACCCGGTGGAGTGGGGAGTTGGCCAGGCGCCCGGTGATCCTGTTAAATGGTATTAAGGTATAGGCGTAAGGTACAAGGAAGCAGTGGGACCCAATGCTGGTGACCCAAGATGACCAGGAAAGATGTTTGCGTCCCAGTTTGGGGTTATCATTGGTTGACCAGCTCAAAGATGCTCAAAGTAAGAGTTGTTGGAACTTGAAACAGAACAACTCCTTACATCTCCTTACACCAGCACGTAAGAATGGAAAAAACAAAACACAAAAAGAATACCCCCCCCTTTGTTTCCAGGGGGGGTCGGTTCTTTTTCATCCAAAGTTCCCGCCCGCCCTCGTGGCAGGTCCATCCTCCGATGCGTGTCGCGTTTGACTAAAGGACTAAAGGATCAAAATTCAATAGATGTTCTAGATCAAAAATATACCAAGAGCACCAAACAAAAATATAAACTGTATATAAGCTATATTCACTGACTCTACTACCAGACAAAGAAAAAGTATGGTTTGGTTGGCTGAATTTGGCTTAGTGGTTTATTTCTATCCTCTGCATTTCAAATTTGGTTATCTTGTTGGATCCTCCTTCTTTCTGAAAAATTCAATGCGATTTAGATGACTTTACCATACTTTACGTTAGCTCAGGTGCGGAGAGTGAGACGAGGGGTGCTTGGCAACCAAACAATAATTCAACCAAGAATTTTCCTCTCTTTTGGATGTGTGTCTGCTGCACTTCCGGAGTCGGCGGCGCTTACCTTTGAAGACATGAGATGAGACTGGTGTCTGTAGAACTTCAGTAGCAGAGAAAAAACACCGAAATCAAGAAGCGAAGGACTGATAGACAGGAATTTAGATAACTTAGTTTTCGGCAAGGTGCAGTGAGGGAGGTAGGGGCTGCTGTTTTTGTCTTGAAATAAAAACTGGAGGGGGAATGTGGGGGAGGGCGCAGTGCCTCCCTGTAGCAGAACAAACAAAATAGCAGGGTAAAGAAATGGAAGCATTCAAAGGGACTTAGATGATCTTACCTTCGCAAAGGTGCAGGGGTGAGACGAAGGGTGCTTGGCCTTGAAAGAAAATAAAAGCTGGAGGGGGAGATCGGAGAGGGCGCAGCGCCTCTTCCCGAAAGCGTAACTGACGGCAGCGCTTACCTTTGAAGAAATGACATGAGACCGGTGTCTGTAGAAATGACAATGACTTAACATCTCCCTAGCTGCGAAATTGAGCAGGGTCGGCGGCCGAAAAGAAGAAACCCAACTCGGCTGCCTAGAAAAGAGTTTTCACACAATGGCTTAAAAATGCCAGCCACAAAGCCTTCAAAAGGTTGGGGAAGCTGCTCATCTGCCAAAGGAAGGTCGCCATCTGCCCGCTTCTGTTGGAGGTACTCTATGGCTGAGCTGGGGAGGTTTATTTTCTTGACAGTCGAAGAGGGCTTCTTATACAAAGATCTTGGCCTCCATGTCGGTGTCTTTCGCTGTGGGTAGGGTTTCAAAACCCTTTTTCCTTCATGTTCCCTGCCACCACCTGGATCGCCAACCGCAGGTTCTCTATGTCGAGGTCCTTGTCAGAAATGCATCAGCTTGTAGTTGTAAAAAAGTGTCCACAGCAGGGTACAACGGAAAGCCACCACCTGCATGCCACCACACTCTGATCCTCATTCCAGATCAACTCGTGATCCACAGCGATCACACCAGAGCGAACCCTGCGGAAGAAGTGGTCGTTCAAGTTACCCTTGACGTGCCTCTTGTGCAGCGTCTGCATCCCGCCAACCTCGATCTCCTTCACAAAAACGTGCTTGTGGGCCCCAGTGGCAGTCCGGAAGTTCAGCCAAATCGCTGCGTGCTCCTCAAGGGCATCGCTGTGCCCTGACCACATTGGTTTCCATAAGCCACACGCACGCACAATTGCCTTCCTCGCATCGATCTTGTTCTTGATCTTTTGGTAGCGCTGCGGATCACCTCGTTTCTAAAGTTGGTCTCAGCGTGCAATTGGATTTCCACAGTGACGTCCCAAGAGTGCGCAATTGGAATTCCACCTCCCATTGGTTTTGATTTCACCAAGCCCTACGTGCATGACGGTTGGGAGTTTTCTGCGCCTTTGAGTGTTCCAAAATGAGAGCTGACGCGATTCCAATCTGTGACGCGATTCCAATCTGGGATTCTTGAGACAGATCCTGATTGCAGTGTGCACGCGTATGAGTCAAGAGTACTTCGGGTATCTTAGGATAAAACTAAAATCATAAGTAGGCGGGCCTTATCATCCAGTGGCGCTTTCACAGCACGCAAGCAGAAACAAGTACAATAGTTCCGCGGCAAGCCAGACAGCAGTGAGATGCAATGCGTTTAGCATCTCCCATAGAATGATGGCTGTTGTCAAGATCACCGAAGCACGAGGTACGAGAAGACCACATTTCAAGCTTGGCATCTGCGGGCGTCAGGAATGATCCTTCCTTTCCTTATTTGTTTATTTCCTTCCTTCCTTCCTTCCTTCCTTCCTTCCTTCCTTCCTTCCTTCCTTCCTTCCTTCCTTCCTTCCT